CCCAAAGTTTACCCTCGCACAAAGACCAAGGAAGAATCCTCCTTGTACGACGTGGTGTGGAGTAATCCTATGAACATCCGCATCACCTGCATTGAGATGAATGATTTTGTTGCGGACTGACCATGCGCTAGGGGCTGCGGTGCATGGATCTTGCAGCGGCGACAACACATTCTAAAGGGATGGCCGACACAAATTCCGCGACAACAATGACGACCATGACGCATGTCCCTGCCACCGCCACCCTCCCCGACTCTGTCAGTTACCGATCCACATAACCCCCTTTGTCCTCCCTGTAGGTCATCAATTCCCGTAGACACAATATTTCCCTTTTTTATGTTTTTCTAAGTTTTGCTAGGGTTTGTGTCCTGCTCAGAGATGCGAGGCAGCGGTGGCTCTCTATAGATGGAATAAGGTACTCATGTTATTAGATGCGTGTCAGTTGTGTCCATGACTGTCAAATCTAATTTGATCGGGCAACTAATAACATCCTCTATCCACAACCCCCCCCCCCCTTTGCAACTAAGCCACAATTGCACCCCCTCGACCGCAACAAGTGGTTAGTTACAAACCTATATGCAATAGGTACAAGAAGATGGCGATGACAATAGTCACGACAACTGTGATCCCTCCTGGCAGTGGCCTTCCAGACTCATCCAAGTACGATCCACCACTGCAGCCAAAGCACTCGGAGCTTAACCTACCACTGCCATGGCCGACCTCCACCACCAAACTCCACCGCCAGTCGTCAAACTCCACCGCCTGATCTCCCTTGTGTTGCTAGGAGCTCGCCACTGCCACCCTAAGAAATCATTACCGCTTTGTGCATCTCCTTTGTCTGGCGTCCTCGCCAGATCCGCCAGCGCCGTGACCCGTGCTGACCACCACCGGAACCGGTGCAGGTCCAACATCGCGACACTACCAGCTCGGCCTCCTGCGTGCAGCGGAAGCCACCCATAACCGCTAGGCTGCGTGCCGAGGAGTTTCTGCAACAACGATGGAGCTGCAAACGACGACGACAATGACTACGGTGCTTTGGCGACACCATCTTTCATTGCAAAAAAAATTACTGCAACATCATCCATGTTGCAAAAGTCAGTCCGCAACATCCTCTATGTTACAAAAAGGTGAAGACGGGAAAAAAATTCAGTAATACAACTTCTGTTGCAAGCGGTTCTACCAACAATTTAAGCCGCTATACACATACAGGGCTCTGCGTTGATGACTTATTCTTCCAAAGATTAGCATATACCAATGTTTACATGCAACCTGTACTGAGTAAATATTAGCATATGGATGCTTCCAAAAAAAATAGCGTATGGAGAAAATCGTTCGAATTGATCTGTTCTTCTAATATTGCCGATTGTCGAATTTTTAACACCTAGTTGTGATAGTGTTTTGTCGCTCTTGTTAGTTTAATTCTCTCAAGTTGTCGTGTAATAAAAGTTTTGTCAAGCCTGCCGGTTTAATTCTATCAAGTTGTCATTTCATAAAGTTTGTGAGGTGCTTTAAAATCTACTTTGACGTTTGACAGATTAATTCAATCAATTTGTCGTTTGATAAGTTTGTCAGGAACTTGTAAAACCTAGTGACGATGGTGTTTTGTCGCGCTTCACAGTTTAATTCTATTAAGTTGCCGTTTCATAAAGTTTGCCAGAGGTTTGCAAAACCTAGTTGCCAAGGTATTTTACCGTGCTTGTCGGTTTTCCTCTACTAAGTTGCCATGTCATTTCATAAAGCTTTTCAGCTGTCACAAGAATTAGCTGCCAGGGATGTTTTACTGTGCTTGTTTAGCTGGTTGCCAATTTAATTCTACCTTGTTATTTTTATAAAACTTGCTATGGTATTTGCTTGTGTATCTATCTGTCGCTGCACCGAAAGAATAATACTGCGTGCTAATCCTCTATAGGTTTGGTGAAGCCAAAAATATCTGACATTAGAAGCACGTTGGTCTTGCTCGTAGTATATGTTACTAGTGATCCCAAAAATAGAATGAAATACTATAGACGAGCCGCTGTAGGAGAGAGAGTAGCTTCTCCTCATGCCAGTCCACCACCTAAAGCTTTCACGGTTCTCCTCCTTGACCTGCTCCGGGGACGGCTTCAGGTCCTCATCGAGACCCACGTCCATGCGTGGGATTACTTGTGCTTGAACCACTCAGGGTTTCCGGCGAAGCGCCGGCGCAGTGCCGCCGTGGCCTTGACGCACCCCTCGCCGTCCCCAGGCGGCTCCATGTAATCGGGGTGGCCGCAGAGCATCGCCGTGGTGAAGTCGGCGTGGCACCCGCCGTCCTCCACATGATGCATGGTGCACGTCATGTCGCTCACGATGGTGCTTACGAAAAGGGCAGGCTCCACAACTACTGTGGAATACATGCTCCGCATGGTCGGTCGATGTTAGTAAATGTTGAGTCAATGTTGGTAAATGTTACGAAAAGGGCAGGCTCCACAACTACTGTGGAATACATATTTTGAGTCAATGTTGGTAAATGTTAGTTGCACGCATTTTTACGAGGACACCGGTTCACAAGGGGATGTTGTATCCAATACAATTACCGCATGATACAAAATATAAACCTAAATTATATTGAATTGAATTGAGCTCACCGCCCGTTTCCATGCGAAGGCTCTAAGGTACGTCAGATTCCGCATGAGAATCTTAAAGCACATGCCGTCATGGAAGCCAAAGATGGAGTGGTCCTAGTTGCTACTAGGGTCTGTCTGTGGATCGGACAAGGCTAAGAACCTATGCATTGAAAAGGGAAGGTTGGGCATCCACACAAGCCATATAGTGTTTAGGTTATGAGACCACCTACTCTGACAACAAATTTGAGGCATTTAGAAGTTAGAAACCGTCTCTATAGTTTCTCGGAGGCGGTTTCATTGTTCTGACCGCGTCCGAAGCGGTTTATAGCCATATCAACTGCATGCGCTCCTGAGCTGGGTGTAGGCAGCTCTGATCAGCTTGGTCTCAAAAGCCTCTGACTGAAATTGCTAATGTTCTTTTTTTACTAGTGGGAAGATCGCACAGATGCCCCACCTTAGCCTGTCACATGCGTGGATCCCGAGTCTTCGGCTGCAGCTCCCACGGGTGATCCTGAGGCGGATCTTGCAGAATAATCAACCCCGTACGCTGCGCGGGCTGGATCTTTTATGGTTGCTGCCGGGTTTTACATAAATCAAGTGCATTTTCTCCAATTTCATCAGCATATTCTCCTATTTGTGGACACTTTTAGCAGAATTTTTATCAAAGTTATTAGAAATTGACAAGTAAACAGTACAGTCATCAACCGTCCATTTGATCAAAATGGAGTGAAGGGCGGAGAATGATTTCTTTGCGGAGTTGAGCGCTGGTGCTTGAATGGAGGCTGGCAAAGGGAAAGACATGTTTGTCAGAAACTATATGTCTGTAAACATAGAAACGGCTCAAAGAGACATCAAAACACTTGTATCCTTTGTGGAGACTGTTATATCCTAGAAAAATATAATGCTTCAAGGGGAATAGCGAGTTTGTGTTTACTAAAAGGGGCAGAAGTTATGCCAAGCGGCACAACCAAAAATTCGAAGCAAAGAATAATCTGGCTTTTTCCAAATAGTAAGGAATGCCTCATCTCAAAATTTGAGAGGCATGAAAGCATGGGCAAGTAAGGAAAGACCAATTTGCACAATATGTTTATTCTTGCATTCAGCGGATCCGTTCTGCTGATTAGCATGGGTGCATGGCACGTGAATCATGGTACAAATACGCTCAAAGAAGGAGTTGAGGTTTTGATACTCGCCCCCAGTCGGCTTGCATAGCAATAATCTTTAGATAAAATAGTCATTCAACATGTTATTGAAAAAACTGAAACTTCTAAAGCACAACAGACTTATTTTTAAGTAAATAATATCCATCTGAACTTGCTAAAATGATCGATAAAGCTAACATAGTATTTTTGTCTCTCAACAGAAACAGGCCGAGTGCCTCTAAACAACTTAAAAAACAAGCTCTATAGGACATTTAGACTCGCTAGTTGATTGAGGGTATGGTAATTGAGGGCTCTTGGGCATTTGACACCCATCACAATGCAAACGATGATCATATTTACTAGACTTTGAAAGACTATTATTTTGAAGAATTTGCTGCACCGCCGAAAGTGAGGGATGCCCTAGACTCTTATGTCACTGAGACGTTTGACCGTGCCAAGCACTTGTCGTCCACGATTCGTTGCAAACCCCTCGGATTTTCTTCCTCGTTGGCTACTCGACATCTTACCATGCTTGCACACCTTTGTCGGTCATCCTCGTGCCTTGATGGCCGCTATTTTGGGCTCAAAGCTGTCGGCCGCCGGTAGACCTCCACCACCTTGCAATTGTTCGATGTTTTGCCTAGGTTATTTTTTTTGGTTTTTTTTGTCTCGTTTTGCTTTGTCCAATTCAATTGAGTAGAATCGTTTCAATTGAAGATGAACATGCTGAGAGAGATGATCTTTGAGGACTCATCGTTATCCAAGGACTTGGCGGTCGGACGAGTTTGATCGGCGGTGGTGAGGGAGATGGAGGTGAGAGAGGGTGGCGGTGCTAGCAACCCTAGTTGGCTGCGCCAAATCCGGCTCTCCCATGCGCGTCATGGTCCAGCTAATTTTATTGATAGATGAACGGAAACGGAGGGGGGTAGGGGGGCCGGCAAGGGAGTACTATTTACACCATGAAATCAAGGTAAGAGCTGATTCATGTATGTAGCGCATGAGCTTTACTATCGATCCACAAACATATACACAAGGAGAGACAATGAAAATGATCTAAATCTGGATAGTTTCCCGTGCACATATACGAGGCGTGCCGTACCCCATGCGCAGTAATCTTCAAAGTACATGGCTGAATGATTGATGTAGTCACATCGATTAATAACTAACATGCGTATCCAATTTTTTTTACTAACTCTCAAAAAAAGATAGTAACTAATATGCGTATGCAAAATCGATGGCCATACGAGTAGATCGGATCGTGGCACACATTAAGCAGCTAGCTTCTCCTCATGCCAGTCCACCACCTCCACCTGTAATCATCCTCCTCCTTCACCTGCTTGGGCGACGGCTTGACGTCCTGGTCGAGGCGGTGGTCCAAGCGGTCGATGTACTGGTGCTCGAACCACTGCGGGTTGCGGCCGAAGCACTTGCGCAGAGCCGCCGTCGCCCTGCCGCACTCCTCTGCGTCGACGTCGCGCTTGGCTGGGTCGGCCCGCAGCATGATCACGTCAGGGTGGCACTCGCTTATGGCCGTCATGAACTCGTCGAGGCACCCGCCGTTTTCCATGTGGTGGTTGACCAAGTTGATGTCGCTGGTGTGGTTTATGAAGGACACGACGCTCCCCATGGCCGGCCGGCGGCGTTAACGGATGTAGAAGTAGTGTAATTAATCTCGGGTTAGTCTACGCATCGATCGATCTGCTAATTAAATAGCGCATGCAGCCACACTTTATACGTAGCACGTGCGTGCAGATCTGATACTTGCGGTGCAAGAAATACCCTTTTTTCCAGAGCTTTATAATTAGCTAGTATGTCAGAAATACGTACGTGATCTTTTAAATTAGGGCGCTGATAGGCGCCGGCGCACCGGCCGAAACTTTCGGCCAGTCTAGCCCACGCTGATGGATGTGAGCCGCGCGGGTCGTTGGATCCAGGCAAAAAAAAAAACCGAATCGCCCCCGGCTTCTTCTTCCACGAGCACTTGAGCTGGATCCACATGCCTCGCTCGAGGAGCGCGGCGCCGCGCCTCTTGTCCCCTCCGGTGGCCTTCGTCGCCGGCCCCCGTCGGTCTTCCTCATTGCCGGTCCCCATCCCTTCGCCAACCCCTCGTCGCCGGTCCCCATCCTAGCCGGTCGTTCTCGTCGTCCCCTAGACCCATGCAACAGCCACACCTGCGGTTGCAGCTCTCAACGGCCCCGGTTGTTGCTCCTGGTTGTAGCTCCGTCACCGCCGCTCGCCGTTGATGCTCACTGCAAGGAATTGCGTCTACGACAGCTGCCAGTCAATCAACGCCGTTTAAATGGATGTAGCAAAAACTCCACTGGTAGTAGCAAAATTAAACTACGGTTGCAGCAAAAATCTTCTCGCCGCTGTTGCGAGGTTGCAGCTCCGCCTAGATGGACGTAGCAAAACCTTCGGCGGCAGTAGCAAAATCCTACTATGGTTGCAGCAAAATCGTCGTCGCCATCACGAGGTTGCAGCTCCCGCCTTGTTGGATGTAGCAAAAAACTTTGCCGCTGGTAGCAAAAATCAACTACGGTTGAATCTTTATTATCTACGGTTGAAGCTTTTTGCGACACCTTGAAGCTTTTCCCTGTTGGCAGTAGCCAGCCCCTAGCATCGGCGTTCAGTGTTTGAAGCTTTTTCCAATGCCGGTTGAAGCTTTGTGCGATACCGGATGTAGCCTTTTGTTGTGGCAGTGGTTGGTTCTAGCATCTGTCACCACTGGTTGAAGCTTTTCGCCGCATCGGTTGTAGCTTTCTAGAACGCCGGTCACAACATCAGGGGTGTCCCCGTTGTGCTCTCAGCTCGACGTCCACCTCGAGCTCGTGTGCCATGGCCGCCCTGCCTGTGAGCTCGCAGGTGATGCCTCCCCTGTCGTAGTAGCGCCGGTGCTTGGCCCCCGACGAGCGCGGCCATGGCTTACGAGATGCAGTTGAGAGAGGGGAAAATCGAGGGGAGGACACTAGCTCGGGGACAGAGGAGGGGGGTGAGTCAGCTTCGGGGATGCTCACCGGAGAAGAAAGGGGGTGCTCGCTGGAGGAGATCGCAGGTTTGGACTTCCATGGCAGCCGGGGAGATGGGAAAAAAAGAACTAGAAAAGGGAAGGAGAAGGACGCAGGGATAGGGGAAAGGATAACGTGGTGGGCCCTTATGGTTTGATTCGGTGTAGCGCTGCATGCGTGGACGAGACCGGCCGAAGCGTTCGGCCGGCGCGCCGAACGCAAGCGTTTCCCTTTAAATTACGTTTCTCAACCACAACTTTTTTTACACCGTCCTTCTTCTCTTTTTTCGAGGGAACTACTCCTTCCGATACGTCATAACAGAGATGGGCCCACGATCTCCAATGTGCCACTTTGCACATTGTTTTTTGTCGCTCAATTTTTTCCATTTAGAATAACGCTAATTATTATTTTTTGGACAAAGTACAAAAACAGATGCCCACGTACACGCACATACACTCGTTCTTATGAAAACACACACTACGTACCCCTATGAGCACTTCCATGATACCGAGTCGACACAACATATTGAGATTGACGATTTCACGCAGGCACCTTCGATGTCGATATAAACGTTCCCTCCCATTAAATGAACATCGTCGGAAAATCTGAAATAAATCTCTCACCTTGGTTGCTGAGAGATTTTGTACAATCATGGGACACCAAGGAACTAAGAATAATGGACTTGTTATAGGTGTGGTGGACATATAGAAAAACTACAGAACTAAAAGAGGAAGAAAAATCAATTATGAAATAAGTCGCGTGCGAGTTATCGCTCTATATGATCATAGGACATGCATGCAATGCAGGTAAGATCTCTCGAACATAGTCACTACCGATGCATAAGCATAGGTTAGCTTCTCCTGATGCCAGTCCACCATCTGAACCAGTCATGTTCTGCTTCCTTTACCAGCTCCGGCGACGGCTTGATGTCCTAGTCGAGGCCCTTATCTACGCGACGGAGGTATTGGTGCTTGAACATGGCGGCGTTGCCGGCGAAGCACTTGCGCAGCGCCGCCGTGGCCTTAATGCATGCCTTAGCGTTGACAATGCGGTCAGCAGCGTCACCTCGCTCCTGCATGAACGCCTTGGGTGGACTGCGTTGGTACTCTCTCATCGCCGTGGCGAAGTCCTCGCCGCACCCGCCATCGACCACGTGATGCACAACGACCCTCTAGTCGCTCATGACGCTGGACGCCGCCACTGCCTGCGTTATGATGACATCCGCTGAATCTTTGGCTATTGCTTCGACTATTGTACGCCAGATCCCCATAGCGCTAGTGATGGTTGACGAGGAGATCAGTAGATGGCCGTCTTGCTATAATATAGTTTGGCACGTTTGTTGATTTTCCAAATCTGTGACCAGACGTATCAACTTGGATCGCATACGCGTTGCAACCTCCATACCGGACGTTACTTGCCTTTTCTTTCGGGTAAAGAAAAACCTTGTCTTTTCTTTCTGATCTAGTCGTATATTCTACATCTACAGAAGTACATGTCGTAACAGGTGTGGACGCACAGTCTTATAGTATGCCATACTTATGGGCTTCGTTGCTGCGGCGTTGTCTCCGACGTCATGCTGGAGCAGGGAGGTTTTGTCGTTCAGGAGTACGCGTAGGCGGTTGTCTACGCAAGTGATAGCTGGAAGATGGAGTATCTTGTATTGGGTTTGTGGTCGAAGGCTGACAGTTTTGGTTTCCTCCTCCGACGTCGTCGTCATGCGAGGGTGTCAGTTCTGAAGTTCGATGGCGTGTCCGGGGACATGTTGCCCCAGTCTGATTCCTTCAACGGCTATGGTTTTGCTTCTAGCAAACTACTTTGAAGGTCCGTAAAGCTGTTGATCAGCGATGGAGCCGCATCGAGTTTGGGTGAAGAGGTGATCTGTCTTTTTATCCTTTGTTGGCCGCTTCGGTGGTGTCGAAGGAAAGGGACAGGCACTGGTTTTTCTATCTTTTCAGTTATGTATGGTCGGTGCTTACGTGCCTTGTAACTTGAATCTTTATTCTATATAAATGAGAATGTCTTACCATACAAAAAAAATTCTTATAGCTTCGTAATCTTCCACCCTGAATCCAGTGGTGGGGCTGGAGAAATCCAATTACATGATGTCATTTCACGCTGTCTGTAGCTTACGTACAAATCTATCGTAACTCTAGCACGGCTGCACAAATATTGCACAGAAAGGTTAAAATTTTGCAACTTTATGAGAATGTTTTTGTACCACAACGATGTATAATCACGTACCCGATCTTTGTATTTCACTTAGCAATGCGTCCCTACAGGAACAATGGAAAAGAGGCAAGGAATGCCCCCACATGTAGATGTAGCATGGCAAGCGACGACTTCCCCACTTACAATAAGTTTTGCCCGGCTCCGACGAGGAGGGGCGATGACGGCAGAGCTTTCGGCTCGCTTCAGTGCTTGTAGTCGTCCTGGTTTACGAATCTGAATGTATTCTTTATTATTTCTGGCAGGGCTCATAATCCTCTCCCAGGAACATTCAATTAACGGAGATCGCGGAGCTCACGTTTTGTGCAAGGATAGCACTGGTTTGGTTTCCTAATCCTGGAAAACGTAGCAACCGTTTGTTTCGAGTCGAACTCAACAGGCAGCTAGGTAGGAGCGCACCTTTTCATCGTTTCCTCACCTCCCGATTGCGCTCTTGGCTGATCACCAAATCACCGCCACCTCATAGGAACGGCGACGGCGGCAGTGACAACAAGGCCGAGGCTGTGTGCGGAACCTTATGGAGAGGTAAGCAGCGGTGAAGGTATTCTGAATCGCCGGCGAAGCAAACTAGGGTTCTACGGCCAGCAGGTACACGCATTTGTGATGCTTATCTACTCGATCTAGGGCGTTCTTCTCGCGGATTGACTGCAGGACACTGGGTTTTCTTGGAAAAGCCATTAGATTGCACACAACTATTCCTTTTTAAATTACCTTTTACCACGGTGTTTACTCTACATGGTGGATTTGGTTGCATTGCAGACATATTACAACAATGTAGAATCAATAACCTCATATTATTTGAAAAATGATCAACAGATTCATGAAGACTTGCTGCTTGCTGCAACAGTAGAACTACTGCGGGTTATCATTTGTAACTTGGGATGCAAGTGGCGCGACACAACTATCCGCTTCTTGTGTTTTGCTACCCAAATGAGCTGAAATAGGCTTTTGAGATAATTAGTACTCCCTCTATAAAAAAAATAAAAAGACATTTAGATCACTACTTTAGTGATCTATAAACACACTTATATTTTTTTACGGAGGGAGTAAAATTTACTGTGAGAGTTGTTTACCGGATTGTGGTGGCTGCAAAGCTTGCATCCTTATTTGTAATAGAACCTAAAGAAAATTGTATATATCACCATTGGTTGATATCTCTTCACTCAATTTTTTTAGACAAATCTGCATATAAAGGGCCCCGAATTCTTGGTTCTCCCCGGGCCCCCAAAATCTCAGGAACGACCTTGATTTCTGGTGTTCGTTGTACTGTCATGATTGAAAATGTATAGATCGGAAGTTAAAAAAAGCGAGGAAGTTTCTCGCACTCTTTTTTTACCTTTCCATTGGACACTATCCGGACAGCAAATTGCAAGCCAACTGAATTTGGCAAAAGCAG